TCCATGGTGGTTGCGCCTTTGCGGAATGGATGGGTTCCCAAATGGGTGTCACTGAAGCCAATCTTATCGAATGCTTCTCACCAATCGCGAATGGTCCTGTATGAAGGGGAGGTGGGTGTAGATTGTTGGAAACAATTAACTCTACGCGCCTCTGTCATGTCGAAACACCAAGTCAGAAGTGAAGCGAAGCATATTGAAGCACTGGCGAGTCAACCTTCGGAGGTTGAGCAGTTGCTGGAGGTTACGCGAAAGTCAAAGGTCAGTGACCTTTGACTTGACAAGTACAGCGCGACACCAAGGACACACAACTGACTCATTACAGAGCAGTTGCCCAAGTCGTCACTGTATCGAACCGCAACAGCAACAGTAAAGTAGTTATAACTGTATCTCTTCATATTCTCTGTACCCTATATAATCTTGTATCTCTTTGCCTTAACCAATCAACTTTGCCCTCACATTCCAGCGCAAGGTGGTTCATAACTCTTCATTAAACGCTTCCGCTATTACATCAGTTATACCCAGAGTTCACCGCTACAAAGATCCTAAGGGCCTGTTTTTCTCAGCCCAATATAGATGATGCCGATGTACGACGGCCAAAGACATGGATCAACGGCCCGTGAGTGAGAGGTCCATATTGTGCGAGTTGCATGAAGCGCTGGGTGCAGCGTACAGGGCAGAACAAGCCCGGTGTGGCCGCCACTGGGACCCACATTCCACGACCCTCTTGGTCCGTTTTGGAATGCGGGATGAGGATCCACATAACATCCTCCTTGAATTGTATGTCTTCCCAGCGAATTGCCACGAGATCTGAATATATGAGGAATGCAGCATACATGAGCATGGGAATGAGTCCCTCTTGGAATTCTGCCGGGTCTTTCTCAAATAGGTTTTGTTGTGCCATGCTGTGGACTTGGTGAAGAGACACAGGCTCCTTGATCCGGGATGGGCGCGGGCAATGCCGTTTGGCGTATTTGCGGAGTTGGTTGGTGAACGAGCCTTAGACGGAACAACGAGCTACGATCATGCCGTATGCAAAAGTGATTACCGAGCAGGTGAGCTGTACCATGGATATTGTTGCCTTTTTTTCGATTGCATGCACCAGGTAGAGTGCAAGCGTTGTGTCGGTGGTTGGTAAGAATGATAGCGGGAATCGGTCACAGAAGGAGCGAAACTTGAGCTAGTAGGGGTCGTACGTGCGAATTGTCGAATCCGCCCTGACTTGGGATGTGATCAGCAGAAGTTGGTGATAGAGCCTAACCATGGTGCCTGTGCCATGAGAACAAGAGTATGCTCAACAATTACTCGAATGAAAACAGGAGCGCATGCATGATGCTGTTGGGAAGGCCAGTGCTAGAGAATGCTGTTGTGTGGGTTCCTACACCAAGGCACTGGTTGCCGCTGGTGAGTTGGATGTGGGTCTTGACTTCTAGTGCCCACTCGTTCAATGTTGGGTGAACTCGGGGCCACTAAACAATACTGGGCCATTCGGGGAGGATTAGCGTGATCCTGGCGCATGTTTGTTGTGCGTGGTGTAGCAGCGTCGGAATCAACTGAGGAGATGGGAAAGCAAACCCGTGTTCCATGGTCCATGAAATGGAGAAATCATTGATTGCGTGCGTGCCAGGTGGGGCACCTTAAAGAAAAAAAAGAGTTGCGCATTGGTGGCTTTCGCAAAGAGATCGAGCGAGTGTGGACCCAAGCGCCGATCAAGGAGTTGGAACCATGGTTGCTTCCGAGTGTAATCGTCATGTTCTCGCAATTTGGAAAGTATGCCGGTGTGAGGATCTGGTTCAGGTAAGATAAATCTATTCAAATGAATCACCTGGGTATAAGGCAAGGCTATGTATAGGCTCGACACAAAGGCAGTAACCCGGGTTTTCAGAATGTTATAATTGTCTAGCCTGCAATGGGGTACTCTATAGTGAGTACAACCCAATTAGGGTTTCCTATATGTATGCCAACTGCTCCTAGTGCAACTCTCCTCTCTTCATTCATTCCTCGTTTCTTCACATGCTATCAGAGTATCTACGCTCCTGGCCTGTGGGCCCACCTAACTGCTTCCGCTGCTACTCTGTCTATTGCACACCCCATGGCGTGCCCCTCGCGCAACCCTTAGCGGCCCCGTCGCCACCCCTTGCGGCCCCGCCGCCGCCCTTCTCGGCCCTCGCGGCCCCTTCGCGGCCCCGTCGCCACTCCTTCGCGGCCCCGTTGCCGCCCTTAGCGGCGCGTCGCCGCCCTTCCAGGCCCCTCGCGGCCCCTTCGCGGCCTCGTCGCCACCCCTTCGCGGCCCCGTTGCCGCCCCTATTGGCCCCGTCGCCGCCTCCAACGGCCTCGTCGCCGCCCCTTCGCGGCCCCGTCGCCACCCCTAGCGGCCCGTCGCCGCCCTTCCAGGCCCCTCGCGGCCCCTTCGTGGCCCCGTCGCCACCCCTATCGGCCCCGTCGCCGCCTCCAGTGGCCTCATTGCTGCCCCTTCGCGGCCCCGTCGCCGCCCCTAGCGGCTCGTCGCCGCCCTTCTAGGCCCCTCGCGGCTCCTTCGCGACCCCGACGCCGACTCCAGCGGCCCCTTCACCGCCCCTTGTGGCCCCGTCGCCGCCCCTTTCGGCCCTGCCTCGACCCTGCCCCGGCCCCGCCCCGGCCATGCTCCGTCGCCTGTCGCGGCGCACCGGGGGCACGTGCACCGCCCCCCCCTCTTTTCCCGTCGCCTGTCGAGGCGACCTGAGGGGAGCCGCGCCTTTGGGGGGGGGGGCGAGCGACGCCCCTTCTGCCGCCTGCTTTGGTGCCCTGGGAGGCCACGCGTCGCCCCCCCCCCCCTTCCCCCCCCCCCCCCCCCCGTAACCTCCCTACCCGCCATCCCGCCCTGCCCTGTGTTAGGGTTTGGGGGTGGCGAGTAGGGGGTGGCGGGTGTGTGGTCTCCCCTGCTCCTCCTCCTCCTCTGTCTCCCACTGCTGCAGCTGCCGCTGAGGGGGGTGGGTGTGTGGGAGTCGACGGAGTGCTGCTAGGGGGTGGGGTGTGAGTGAACCTAGGGTGCAGCAAGGGGTGTGTGAAAGGGGGGTGCTTTGGGAGTAGAACTAGGGTTTGAGCAGGGGGTGTGTGTCGAGGGTGTGGTGCAGCTGGAGGAGGTTGTGTGAAGGTAGCTGTCGTGTTGCCTGCAGCGCCTGTAGTCGGTCGCCCTTGCTTCGGTAGCCAGTGAGCCTGTTGCACCAGTCGCCAGTGGGTCCGTTGCTCCTGCCGCTCGTCTATAGCCGCGGAGCCAGTTACTCCAGTATTCCGTCGCCCTTGCTTCGGTAGCCACTAAGTCGGCCGCTCCTGTGCTCGTGCCTCTGCAGCTTCAGTCGTTGCCTCCCATCTTCTCTCCCTCCACAGTTCCTCCTCCTCCTCACTTGCCCGCTGTGATTAACTCTAGCTTTGCTCGCTATTGTGAACTCGTGCTCTATGCCTGCTTGCTCATTGTGCTGATTACACCCCACTTTGGCTATCGGGGAGTGTCAGAATGTTATAATTGTCTAGCCTGCAGTGGGGTACTCTATAGCGAGTACAACCCAATTAGGGTTTCCTATATGTATGCTAACTGCTGCTAGTGCAACTCTCCTCTCTTCATTCATTCCTCATTCTTCACACGGGTGTTACTAGAAGGTTCCGTGGGACGCGAAGCGTCCCGAACGGGTCCTTCTCGAATTCAATAGAAGGCAATTTGGTGGCAACCAAAAAGCCTAGAATTCGGTGCACTCAACCTAGTTCGGTGCTATAAGTATAGTAACTATAGTGAAAGCAACGAACCTAGGAAATGTTTTGGTACTGGTTGGCTCTATTGCTCCAGAACCACCAATTATTGTCGCGGAAAACATTTTAACGGTCAGCAAAACAGAACTTTTACGTCGCTCCTCCAGTTGCGCGGAGGGTGGCAGGAAGCTGAATCGCACCAACGTGGGGGGTTCTTGGCTTCGTGGAAGCACCCGGCCGCACTAGTGGTGCTATGCTGTGCTGTCCACCCTCCATTTGCCGCTGGGCAACAGAATTGGCCCCAGGGAAACGCCCTCACGCGATTCTGATTCAAGACATTGTAAAAGTTCGATTCGATTGAACTTACGAGACTGAAATGTACAACTTCGTGCGTTTAATTTGTATTTCTGTATTATTTATTATATAAGCGCCGGCGCTTATGGCCTATACTCAATTACAAGCGCCCCCCTTAAAGCTCGAGTACAGCATGGTAATTTTCAAGTTCAAGATTCTTGAACTTGAAGTCGCCAAAAACAGGGTTACCCTACTTGTTTTGAGAAAATTCTCGCGACCCCATGCAATCGTCCTGCAACAACGGAACCCGAGTGCCCAAAACCAGAACTGACGCGATGATCGCCAACCATTTGTACTGTTCACCACTCACATAACTTGCTTACCAAGTAGTACTCATAGGCTAGGAGGCTCCAAGGCAAAAACTCGTGCTAGTTGGCAAAAACGAGTCGTTGATAAGCTTTTTTTTTGTGCGGAAGGAAATATAAGTCCACCTCGACCATCTTAGTCAGTGCACGCTCCGATCTCTCCCTCACGTCAATGGTCTCGTGTTACAGCGCGTACACCCACAGCACTCATGTTATTAAACGAGTCTTGCATTCAAGCTCACGTCGCACACGGAGGCTCTTGTCATACTTGCTGCCATTCAGTCTCGTGTCACGATCGTGCCGTTTTAGGCACGGGTCCCTCACGCGAATGCCATACTAGTTCGCGTGACGCACTCAGCCGTTAGTCGCACATGTTCCTCCTTGTCGACCGCTCTTGCCCACGCGAGACCGCTTTCGTCGTCGCTTGCGCTTTCCCTCATCACCCTCCCCGACCCTCTGGTCGCATATGTTCCCCTATTTGCCCGCGCTCTCCCACGTTAACCACACATCCCCTCGTCGCAATTGCTGATGGTAAACATACCGCGCTTCAGATCATCACCTGCGCTCCCCTCATCACCCTCGTCGACCCGCACCGATCCTCACCGCCCTCACCTCCCTTGGTCACCGACATTCCCTCTCGTCGCTCGCGCTTCCCCTCATCACCCGTGCCGACCCTCGCCGCCCTTGCCTCCCCTCATCGCCCGCGTGTCCCGTCGTTGGGCTTGCCTCCCAGTCACTCGCACTTCCCCTCGTCTTCCGCTCTTCCCCTCTCCCCATCTCACCATCTCCACCCGTCCTTCCTCCCTCATTCCTTCCGAAGGGATGGGACAGATGGGGAGGAAGGGATGGGACAGATGGGGAGGAACAGATGGGGAGGAACAGATGGGGAGGAATAGATGGGGAGGAACAGAGATGTGGAGGAACAGATGGGGAGGAACAGATGGGGAGGAACAGATGGGGACGAACAGATGGGGAGGAACAGATGGGGAGGAACAGATGGGGAGCAGAGCAGAGCAGCATTGCGACCTGCCTGCAGCAGTGCGACCTGCCTGCACCGTCATCCCCCACAGCGGAGATGAGGAAGGGCGCGGCGGAGAGTGCTGCCATGCACTCCGCTATGTTGTGCGCCACCCCCCTTGCGAGGAGGAACAGGGGAAGGGCGCGGCGGGCAGAGAGAAAGGAAGGAGGAGGGGGAGAGTGGGAGAAGGAGAGAGGTTGAGACATGCCGCAGTGGATGACACTCCACCCTCAAATTTCTTTCTCCTACCCTCCTCCATGCCTCATGTGGGAGGAAGAAAACGGGTGGGGGAAAGGGAGGAAGGGGACAACCATGAGGGGTAGGGGTTGGAAAGGGGCGGGGGTGGGTGGAGGTTTAGCGAGAAGGGGAATAGGAACCAGAGCATAGGGCGCAGAGCATAGGGTGCAGAGCATGGGGCGCAGTGCATAGGGCGCAGAGAATAGGGCGCAGATCGGAGGGCGCATAGCGCAGAGTGCAGGGGGCAAAGCCAGGGGGCGGAGGGGGCAAAGCGCAGGGGGCAGAGGGGGCAGAGCGCAAAGTGCAAGGGCATGGAGCATGTGTACCTGTCCTAGCGTGGTGGTGCCTCGTTCCAGCGCCCTCTCCACGCTGCTTGTCGACCAGAATAGTGCGCGCGCTGGACGTTTGCGAGTTGACGTGCTGCTAAACGACCAGTGGCGCGAGCTGTGCGTAAACCGGTGAGGGGGATGGTCGTCTCTGTATTTGGCGCCCTGCTACCCGCCCGTTGGCGCCCGGTGGCCGACAGAGTAGAATTGCGTAACCCTAAGGGTCTGCGTATTGTGGACGCCCCCAGCGTGGCATTGCCCTAAGTAATAGGCACTTTCGAGCCCAATATACGTTCGCAATGCCCCAAAAATTTTCGACCTACGTGCTGCCAGAGGCAATCGATGTGCTAGAGGCCATATCGCGCTGTGTCACGCTCTTCTCAATGCTCATTCCAACGTCTCAGCATGTACGTTTTCTGGCATGTCACCTTCGTTTGCACGTTCCCTTGTTGTAAGCTCCTGCGGTTATTTCACACGAAGTAGTTAGCTTGAATGATTGTGGTGTTCTTTCTCCTCACTCATGTTGGTGCTTCTCGTTTTCGTTTTTGCTAGTAGTCGCATTGTGCGTGGACCTTCTCCACTACTTGAACCTGATTGGCTGAAGAACAATCTTTGCGACACTCCTTCCAGACGCCCCACACGGCTTGCAAATCCGTCAAAGCTGCACAGTATCGATGTAGGTGAACTCTGTTATGGGATCTGTGATAGTTGGTTTTACGCAAGAAAAGGTAATATCCTTGTTAGAGCAAACACGGTTTTGTCAGTAAGTCTATATCTCATAACTCTGAAATATCCAAGAACCAAACACTTATTTTTGGAAGGGTCCCGAAATGAACCACTCTGAAAAAAAAAAAGGGTGCATTATGAAAACCAGCCTTATAGTCAGTGTCATAAGGGTGATTCACCCTATTAACCAGAGGCCTGCCCCCGGGTCTTATGCCGGTATCCAGGGGTTTACAGAAACTAGAACTGAAGGGGCCTCTATCTGGGGGAATACGGTAAGAGCTTGTGAACTAGCAAACGCTGTGTGTCCAACAAAACCTTGTGGGCGAAGCATTTTGTACATACCAGTACCTAAGCTGATCTATCCAACGGGTCCAAAACCAGTTGGCGGGCCTGGTCTGAATGTCTTCATTTTTTCCATCAGCTTTCCCAGAGTGTACATCCTGCTCTATAAGTGTAGAAAGCTGGTAGTGGTAGAGATTCCATTATGACAACATTCCAACAACCGTGCAATACGGTAGTAGGAGTGTTGGCGGCGCTAGTAAAGTAGGAACCAGGTCTCTTGATATTAGGATAAATCACCCTTATGGCCCTTGCTATAAGGGTGGGTTTAGGTGTTCATCCTGATTTTACAGAGTTGTATTTTAGGGCGCCCTTACAATAAGAAGTGATTTTTTTTTGTCAAACTCATATGCTATAGTCTGTGTATGATGTAATGGGACAGACAATATGGGGTACAACACTTTTAGGTTTTCCTACTTGTACTCACATGTTTGCCAGTGCATTCATTCCTCATTTCTTCACATGGTATAGAGCACGTTCCCTAGTGGGAACGCTTCCATAGGCCCACCACTAAGAAATGAGGAATGAATGAACTAGCAAGCAAGTGGGTACACGTTGGGAAAACCTAAAAGTGTTGTACCCCATATTGTCTACCCCTTTACAACCTACACAGACTATAGCATATGACTTTGACACACCCCCATAGGCAAATTGGGGGAGAACAAGAGGTCACAAGACCAGTCAAGTAAAGCAAATCAAGCTCAGGGTGGATCACAACATCACCACACATTTCGAGCACAAGTTCAAGGCCACAAGGCAAGTTCACATGCAAGATCATATATAAAGGTAAACAAGCAAGTGCAGGTATAGAAAGATCACAGTACAAGCAAGGTCAAGAAGTGAGCAAGTGAGGCCAAGTGGGCACAAGACCTAGCATCATACAGAAGCGTTGATGATCACAAGGCGGAAGTGCCTTGGCAAAGATATTAGCAGTGTTGGCCTCAGAGGCCATGTAAGCAAGGCGCAGCTAACCACGCTGCTGCAGCTCACGAGCAAGGAAGTAGCGAAGAGCAATGTGCTTCGTTCTGTGCTCCAGTCTATGCTCCCGACACAAGGTCAGCATGGCCTTGTTGTCTACGTACAAAACTGGAGGAGAACGAGGCGGCTCTCCTAGGTCAGTCAGCAGGTAGGTGAGCCGGCGTAGCTCCTGTGCAGCCATGGCCCCCGCGTAGATCTCAGCCTTACAGCTGGAGCCGAGAACAGAAGACGAGCGGGTAGACCGCCACGAAACAAAGCCGGAACCAAGGCTGAAGGTGTAACCCTGTGACGAACGCTGCGTAGCCTGGTCGTCAGCCCAAGAAGCGTCCGCGTGCCCAGTGAGGACCACTGGACTCCGCCCTCCAAGCACTAGCCCCATGCCCGACGTACTGCACAAGTAGCGCAACACCCTCTTTGCTGCAGCCATGTGCTCTGGTCTCAGTCTCCCAGGAGCAACATAGCGTGCAAGAATGCTAAGAGGGTATGCAAGGTCAGGTCGTGTGCAGGTCATCAGGTACATGAGGCAGCCAACAAGCTCTGGGTACGGGCCACTCGACGCTACGGACTCATCCGAAGGTAGAGCTGAGAGCGAGTGGCGAGTAGACAGAGGAGTGGCCTGAGGCGAGGAGTACATGAAGTCGAAGCGCTGAAGGACCTGCTTCACCATGTGTGACTCAGTCAGCGTAATGGTGCGCTGTGCTCTATCCCAGGTGATCTGCAAGCCAAGGTAGTTGCACAGTTCACCCAGGTCTGTGCACATGTGTCTCTTCTACAGCTCCAACTTCACGTGGGCGAGTCCAGCAGTGTGAGCAGTGGCAAAGACCAAGTCGTCGACGTACACGAGGATGTAGAACGGCGGCAAAGAGGTGTCGCCGCGCAGAAACAGCGACGGGTCGGCAGTAGAAGGAGCAAACCCAAGAGCCGCAAGTGTAGTCCTCAGTGTGTCCTGCCACTCATGGGGCGCCCGGCGGAGACCGTAGACTGGCCGCCGGAGGCTCCACTGGGTACGAGAAGGAAACGACCCAGTGAAGCCAGGTGGGCGGCGCAGCCAAATCTCCTCGTGCAGGCTGCCCTGCAGGAAAGCTGTGCTGAAGTCAAGAGAGTGAAGCTCGTAGTCGCGCTGAGCGGCTATGTGCAGTAGCACCCAAAGATTGGTCATCTTCGGGGTGGGAAAGAAGGTCTGAAAGTAGTCAACTCCCTGCACGTGACTGAAGCCTCGAGCCACGTAACGCGCCTTGAAGACAGGCGGAGAACCCGGCGGCCGCTTCACCCTGAAAATCCACATGCCACTGACGATGTTCGCCCCAGGTGGGGGAACCTCGTCGACGTAGGTGCCCGTGGACTTCCAGGAAGCCATCTCGGCGTCCATGGCTAACAGCCACTGTGAGGAGTAGGGACCCTCGATCGCCTCAGCATACAATCGAGGAGTCGGGATGTCTGGTGCATCCGGGTCTCCCTCAGGGACAATCAGTGTGGACACGAGATGAGGCAAAGCAGCAGCAAAACACTGGAACTCCTCTCGCCTGTCTTCAAGGACGTCTGTGCTAAGAGCACACTCGCCTCCGACGGACGGAGGACAGACAGACTCAAACTCAGCAACAAGACTAGCGACGTAGTCTAGACGACAGCGCGCAGCAAAGTAGACAAGCTCAGCAACTAAGGTAGACACAGTAGTGGACTCAAAGGAAGGGTCAGAGACAGCTGTAGCGAGAAGACACATTACAGTAGGACTGGCAACACGAATAGAGTCAGACTCCGAGTCAGCAAGAACAGGAAGAGAGGACGCTGGAGGAGACGGCAATGGGACACGCAAAGGAGAAGTGGAAGGATGCGGTGCCATCTGGTGTACGCCTAGGACCGCAGGAGGACGCGGACGCGGAGCATGACCACTAGTGCGAGCAGCACGAACAGGCGATGCAGGACGAGACGCACGCTCACAACGCTCACCAAGACCTCCAGTAGGACCAGTGTAGGGAGAAGGAGCAGGCAGGGGTAGGCGGGCTGTAACTGTGACTGCGACTGGACAGGCTGTGGACACTCTAAGGGAGGAGCAGGACCAGTGGAAGGCGGGAGACCAAGAACCTTCTCAACGAAGTACGGCCACGGCCGCGCCTCCAGAACCAGCAGGGTCAGTACTAGTACCCCAAGTGGCAGCACCAGCGCAAGCAGCACCTCCAGGTCCAATAGCGCCAACTCCAGCACCCTCAGAAGCACCAGTGCGAGCAGCACCTCCAGCGCCAACAACCCTAGCAGCTCCAGCTCCAGTAGCTCCATCTCTAGCTCCTCCAGCTCCAGCTCCAGCAGCACCAACTCCAGCTGGACCGTCAGCAGCACCCCAGGCCCAGCAGCTCCAGTACCGCCAGTACGAGCACCTCCAAGACTAGTGGCTCCAGTAACTCCAGTGCCGACCCCAGGGTCAGCAGTAACAGCAACACCTCCAGCTCCAGCAGCACCGCTCCAACGCCATGCAAACCACTCGCGCAGCTCCTGTGGAGAGGGTAGCTCCCGCCTCGACAAAGCACCCGAAGGGGCCCCAAACCTAGCACCGCCAGAGCCCACACGAGCAGACCCAGCACCCCCAGGCCCCGCACTCCCAAGCTCAGCACCCCCACGCTCCGCACCCCCACGCTCAGCACCTTCAGGCTCCGCACCCCCACGCCCAGCACCCCCAGACTCAGCACCCCCAGGCTCAGCTCCCCTAGTAGTACGAGAGTCAACAACTACCTTGACAGGCTCGACTGCGTCTACCTGGGACACACCTCACGGGGTAGGACGCTAAGGGGGGAGTGGGTCTAACGCGGGGGGGACCTGGCGCAAGGAA